GAAATGCTGTCAGACCGCTGGAGCGATTTTCAAGAAGCATAGATCGCTCGACTCGTCAGTTTCAAAGCAACTTGCCTTCTTCCGGAAGACCCACGGGGGATTCGACACAATTGTCCAATTTCGGCAACTCCGCTTCCGTAGAGTCAACCAGTCTCAACGACGCTTCCCCTCGGAGATGGCTGAGTGCGTTGAGAAGGAGCTCCCGTCCCTCTGCAAGGGTTTCGCCTTCTCCCTACAACTCGGGTCCCGCGCAATCCAACAGTGTCAGCAACAGTCCCCCACGGAGATGGCTGAGCGCCTTGAGAAGGAGCCCCCGTTCCTCTGCGAGAGTTTCACCTTCTCCCGGAAAGGTGAAGAAAATTGAAGTTCAACCTGACGATGACAACAAAACTAAGATGTTTTGTATAATACAGCCATCGCTCACCGTCGACCCTATTATGGTGGAGACGTCCGTTATTGAGCACCGCTCATGCGAACAAGCGTCAGGGTCGACGACAGCGTCACCATCAGCAGCTTCCACCAGCACTATCACCAGTATTTCTTCATTTGAATTTGAAGAGGTAATCAACCTAAGCTCTCCTGCGTTGGATACCACCACCAACGCAAGTCCTGCCGCGGATTGCGGCCGGACGTGAGAGCTGGGCCCTTTTTAGGTACTTGGCCTCAGGCGTCCACGGGAGCATCGAACCGGAGGCATTAGAGGTAGGACCCTTATGGAAACTCGAGGGGTGGTATATATATAACAACTTTATTTAAATAATAACATGTAACATATTATTATTAAAAAAGGGTTATAGAAGGGAGGAACTTAATCCTCATTGTAAACTATACCCCAGATCATTGTAAACTATACCCCAGATGGTCGTGACTGGTAAACACGGAACGTAGGGTACGTAAATTTAAAACTTCCCCCACCCCAAAATCTGATAAATTCACTGCACTCCTCTTCTCCTTCAAGTTTTAAAAATTATCCATGAATTTGCACCCAAGGCGGATCAAGGCTGAGGTCCCCTTACAAGGGGATAATTTACGCAAAACGATAAAGCCTTTTCAGCCAAAATCGCGGCTTCAAGTTAAGCCTGGTGCATGGTGAGGCGTCTCCATGTTATATCT